CTTAATTTGATGTAACCAGGTGCTCCAGATGTTATGCTTCTGAAAATATATATACAACCAAACATATATGGAATCATCATGTATTTTATACCAATATTTATTTCTTTTGAAAAAACTTGTTATTGTTACGAAGAACAAAGTTGTAATTGAAAATAAACAAATTTGTTACATTTATTGATGTTTGTATTTTGATACTGATTTCTGAAATGGAAATTAAAACGTAAATACACTTATTTTAAACTTCAATTGTGGCTTATTCCCATTAAAATAGTAATTACAAATATTAATGTTGACAAAAACCGACTTTTATAACCAAAAGTAGAAATTAAGTAATAGACATTGTAATAGCATCAAATTGCCTAAAAATTTTTTATTATAATGGAATATGTCTGAGGAGGAGAGTACTCAGACCATAGACACATAAGATACGCCTTAGTGGGGAAAACAGCAAATGTTACTTATCGGAACCCTTGCTCAACTAACTGTGAGGCTAAATGACAGTGAATAGTCTAAATGACGCTATCATTACAGCATTACAAGAAACCGGCCCTCTAACGGAGAGGAGTTCCACCAGGGATACGCCATGGTGGAATAAAGAACTATATGTGTTGAGAAAAAGGGCGAGGAAGCTATTCAACAGAGTTAAAGTAACCGAGGATGAGGGAGAATACAAAATTACATAGATGTAATACTATACAGCTATAGGAGAAGTCAGAAGAGATACATGGAAGAAGCACTGTGAGGAAATTTAAAGTTCTCAGACTTCTGCTAAACTTTAAAAGGTGCCCTGAAATGAGAGATCACAATCAATTTACTGACTCCTAAATAATAAGGGCGAGTATACCAATACAGAAAGAAACAGAGCTGTAGAGCACTTCAGAGTACTCTTCTATGGATTACAAATAGTCGAATCACCAATTGACTGGAAATCAGCAAACAACGAGGCTTTGCAGAGGCCCTTAAAAACTAAATGGCAGACAATTAAAAAGATTGCAAACTATGAATAAGTAGTATGGGCATAAACTCATGCGAGTCGTATGAGTCACCAGGAATTGATGGTATATATCCAATGTTATTACGAAAGAGACCTAGGAGGAAGCTTTCCTCCTAGGTCTCTTTTGAAAGAAGAAATAGAGGAGGCTTTCCCAACACTTCAAAAATATCCATAACCAATACCCTAGAACGTAAATGAGTCGACAATATTTGTTTGAACTGAATATAATTTATGCTCAGGAATAGAGTGGTAAAGACCGCTCTATTCCGTCTCCACTGCTCTAAAGTCTAGTGGTGGACGAACTAATAGGAGCTTTAAAGGCAAATTGTTATAAAACAATTAAAGATAAGAATGATTTAGTAATCATCTCGCAAGAAATATATAATACGGTAGTCAGATATCGTATGAACGAGGCCCTAGAACTAGTAAAGTCTCCATAAATCCATCATAATCACTTTCACACTTAGACGAAAATTGGTAGTGTTAGGTCCTTTAAATCTGTAGGGACAATCAATTTACTTAAAGGGAGAGGTAAAGTATCTAAGGGTTATACTAGAGTTAAAAATTACCTGAAACCGGCAATTAGAAAAAACAACAAGCAGAGTGACAACTCTTATGAGGGTCAGACGCATGTATGGGCAGGAATTGGGATTAAAATCGGACATAGTGCACTGGGTGTACACCATCCTGATTAACTTTAATTACCTATGCAGTGACGATATGGTGAAGTAAGATACTTCAAACAGCTGCAAACACGAAACTCAGCAAGATGCACACACCTGCGTGTATATGGATAACTGGTGCCATTCGTACTACTCCAACAGCAACTATGGAGGTTCTACTAAGCCTGCCTCCTTTGGATTTGATAATACAAGAAGAAGCAAGAGGGGTTATGCAAGCCTACAGAATAAATCAATCACTGAAACTTTGACAAGGGAAACTTTGAAGTGACAAGACAACATTATAACAAGAACTGTGACGAATGACATTTTTATTGCGGAACTAGATTATATAACAAAAAGATACAAGTTTAAGAATTTATATTAGGAGTGTGTACGGAGAAATAAGGAGTACTATAACCAATAAACCAGCAGTGTAAGTTATGGTATACAAATAAATCCAAGCTAGACTAGAGAGGGTGGGGAGCAGTAAATATACTCCAATAATCCAAGAAGTAGCGAAAGCTTTGTTTAGGGAGGAACGGTACCTTTTTTTAAGTGAATTTGTATGCGATGCTGTAATTTACAAAGGGAAATAATGAGGGAGCGCTTTAAAAAAGCAGATCTAGGAAGTGACGTCCAGGCTGGTATCGGATGCATCAAAGAACTGAATGAACTTGAAGACCGGAATAAGATTGAGCTTGTCTGGCTACCAGAGCATTAGATCATCGAAAGCAATGAAAAAGCAGATTAACTTTCTAAAAGAGGATCAAACAGATCAATCGGACTGGCTATGACTCTGAAATTACCAAATGCTGTAGAGGACTAGATCCGAGAAAGTTATGAATGGTATTGGGAGAGAATCCCAAACCAAACACATTGAAAAATCTTCATTGGTGGATCATGTACAAAAAGAACAGAGAAACTGTTCTATATCGGCAGAAACAAACTGAAAACAGTAACAGAAATTTTGACCGGGCATGCACCAGAAAGAGAATTTCTAACCTCAAAAGACAAAAACTATATGGGCAACCGAGAGAAGATATAGGACACACCAAGAAAAACCTGAATAAACTTCTACAGTGTACAAAAATTCCTTACTAGGTGTAGGAAACAATAACGGACAGCAAAGGCAACTGGGAAAAAATATGTATGCCATTTTAAACCATAAAATTATGTATTAATTACTAAAAATACGTTTATTGACGTTTCAATTTTCACTTCGGAAATCGTTTTCAAAATACAAACAGTAAATTAAACAAATTTTATTTTTTGTTACTTAGTGAAAAATTCTTCTAATAATTTAATTTTATCTGACTCATTTATATTGACAATTCAGACATACATTATGCATTTTAAAGTAGACGACTTTAAAATGATATTGCCAATATTGTTGAGTTGCGCTCTTGGGACGATTTTACTTATAAGATAGTTCATTCGATTACATGAAATCAACTTTAACTTAAGAATATCCGTCAGAAAAAATCATAGCATGTAATTCGTCTTTAAAAAGATAAAGACATGCCATGATGACAGTAAAATTCTCCTGTTAGTGATTCCATAGTAAATTATGAGGGAAAAAAACAGGAAAAAAACCTCACAATACTATCCCGACATGGTAAGTATTTGGTCGTGCATTTATTTTACCTTCAATAAACACCAAACTCTGATTTTATATGTTTATTATTTAAAAAACATAAATGATATATCCTCTATATGTTACTAACTTACTAATACTGGTATTTTCTTATTAATAACTTCCTCTTTCAATATGGGTAACCAGATCCTACTACATTCTGCCGAGGAATTTGCAACACAATTGGTCTCATTTAGCATAATCAGAGCCGCTTCTTTGATTTTTCTTTGTTTACCATCCGTTTCTTTTAGGACTACATTTGAATTATTCCATTGAACCCTATGTTCATTATCACATGCGTGTTTACATATTTGAGATCTATCAAATTCTCTATTTTTAATATAAGATTGATGTTCACTTATTCTAACATTTAATGTCCTTGATGTTTCACCGAAATAAAACTGATCGCATTCACAAGGTATTTTATAAATGAAATTCGTTGTCCTTTCTTGTTCATTGTTAGGTTTATTTTTGGACAAAATATATCTCAACGTGTTTGTCGTTTTGAATGTTGTTGAAATGTTCAATTTATTTCCAATCCTTTTAAGTTTTTCTGATAATCCTTTTATGTACGGTATTGTTATTTTCCTCGTATTATTCCTTGTGTATGATGTAGGATCTCGTTCTAAGTTGTTCTGTTCTATTCGATGTAAAAAATTTAAAACGTCAATAAACGTATTTTAATCTTTAATTGTGGCTTATTCCCAGGTAAATTGTAATTAATTTAAAACGCCACAAGAAAATAGCTTCAGAACAATATAAATGATGTAGTCTCGATATATTATTGACTTCTGATCCTACCTCATTCTACCAACGAATTTGCAAGTTTGACATAATAAGAGCAGATTCTTTGATCTTTTTCTTTTTACTATTTGTTTCGTTTAGAACTATCCATGAATCTTTTTATTAACTTATATGTGTATTTATATCAAATTCTCTGTTTTTGGGTATAAGATTTATGTTTCCTTATTCTAATATTTAACGGTCCTGATGTTTCAACTAAATAAAAATGATCGCATTCACAAGATATTTTATAAACACAATTCTTTGTTTTTTCTTGTTCGTTTAGGTTCGTTAGGTTTATTTCAGAAATAATAAAATACTCTCCTCTAGAACGAATTTTGGCACGAATTTTTGAACGAATTTGGGCAAGTAATTTTGGCTCTATCATATATATAACGATTTAATGATTCCCTTTTTAAAATTGATGTTATGATTTTATTGTACTTTTGATATATGTTGGTAGTATCACAAATTAATTACCAATCAAATACTTCTTTTAAAGTAAGCACAGCTTCTACATAAATTTACTTGATTAACTTCAAAATTCAAAATTAACTCTCTCTATAGTCGAATATAAGAATAAATGCAGAATGGAACCTCAAAATGAGTTTATGTATACCAATTACGATGTCTAGACGACATAGAGAGGATGAATGAAAAGGAAACTCTATAAAACTATATAACTGAAGACCTGATCAAAGTAAAATCATCAGGAATTTCCACAACAAGATTTAAGGACCATATAGAGTAAGACGTAAGAAAATCAGGAGCGTCAAATATATAAAAATTGAAGAATATCAAGTAGTTGATACTCATCTTCGAACAATTCTATATGCTAAAAAAATTGTATAACCAAAAATTAATAATTTTATTTGTTAACAAGTGTGCCAATTCTACACCAATTACATTAGTAGTGAATCTGATATCTGCGACAACGATTCAAATAAAATAAAGAATTCATAATAATTTTTATTAAACTAGTCTCCAAAATACTTATAATGTAATTCGAGAATACCAATTATTTTTGTTTTAATAATATTCTTAACATCATCTTGAAGATCAGAGTAAGTAAAAGGTTCGAAATCCTCTTTGCCTGGTCCAAGATGCTGATCAACTATTACTACTGGAATTCCACCAAGAGCAACCAGCAAATTAATTATGGAATATCTTTTAAAATGGTCTAAGAGAGTCAAAAACGGAAACTTCTTTGGGTCACTTCCTACCCTCGCTACAAAATTACAAAATTCCATATAGTAATACTCTACGTAACTTTCAAAGTTTTGATTTATGTCTTCGGAATAGATAAAATACAAGAAATATCCCAAATCCAGTACGGGAGAATGAACAGTTGACATATTCCAGCATAAAAATTTTACATCTTTAGCAACGTCCGGATTGTCTCTCTGAAAAATAAATTTAAATATTAAATTAGATTTTTAAAATTAAAACTTTTAAAAAAGTTTATCGATTATAATATGTAACTTATTTTTGCTCGGTAGTCGAAAATGTTTGTCACCGGAAATATTAATTTTATGTAATCCTACTCATTTTTGAATGTTATTGATTTCTTCTATTGCATTTTCTTAACTTTTTTTTTCTTTCACCTTCAATAGCAAGAATCTTTTCCACAGTAATAAAAAAATGGAACAACACATGGACCATTATGAATAAAAACAAGCCGGATTGCGAACAGCCAGATCATGTTTAGATAATATATTTATCATGGGACAGGTGATGATAAAAAACCGAGGTGCAAATACAGCTAGGGCAATGAAATAAGACAATCACCACAACAAAAGGTTTCAAACAGGGATGTGATCTATCAGCTACACTTTTTAACACATACATAGAACAGGTTTTGAAGAGATGGTATAGAAAATGCGCAACAATGGGCATACCAGTACAAGAGAATATATAACATTCATTACTTTTCGCAGATGACCAATTTATGTTTGCACAAGACTTCTTTTTCTTCTTGTAGTGCTTATCCGTTTCGGATGTTGGCGACCATCATGGCAATCTCTATTTTGTAAACTGTTGCTCTGAAAAGATTTGTGCTTGTTTTGTTAAACCACGTACGTAGATTTTTCAGCCAGGAAATCCTTTGCCTTCCTGGTCCTCTATTTCCTTCTTTTCCTTGTAGAATTTATTGCAGCAATCCATATTTGTCGCTGTTCCTCATGATGTGACCGAGGTATTCGATTTTGGCTGTTTTTATTCTGGTTTTTGCATCCCCAATAAAACGTCCTGGTTAGTAACGTGGTCGGTATAGGATATCTTCAGAATTCAACGATAAAGCCACATTTTCAAAGCCTCAATTTTCTTGTAGGTAGCGTCTGTGAGAGTCAACTCCGTACAGAAGTATAGAAAATATATAACATCGTAGTAACCTAATTTTTATGGGTACTAATAAATCATGGCATTTGAATATCTTAGCCAGTTTTTGAAATGCAGATGTTGCTTTCTCTGTCCTACATTTTATTTCGAGGGAATGGTCCCATTTTTCATTGAGCTTCGTACCAAGAAAGGTGTATGTTTTTACTACTCCTTCTATTTGTTGACCTTTCACACTAATTCTTTCAATTTACTGTTTGTTCTTAGAGATACATTTTGTTTTCTTAATGGTCAGTAAAAGTCCATACCTCTGGCTCACTTCTGTGTTCTATTCATTCTCCTGGAAGCAGTAGCGCACCTAGAATTATCCTCGGGGCGGGGGGGTTTTGGTTGGGCACGGAAATTTTTTTATGCTACCTCCACCATTTTAACTCCTTAAAATTTGTAAATTACAGTGTCGGAATAGGGTTCTGGGGGGTTCTTTGACCCCAAAAACCCCCCTGGGTGCGCCACTGCCTAAAAGGCTTTATAACTATCAGCGAATTAAACCGTGACATCCGCGTATCTGATGTTATTGATACATTCTCCGTTAATTCGAATTCCAGCTTCTACATCCTCTACTACTTCTTGAAAGATTTCCTCAGAGTATGCATCTTGAGTATGTATGTTGAACAGCAAGAATGATAGCATACATTCCTTTCGGACCCCACGTTTGATTTTGATATCATCGGATTCTCCTACCTCTGTATGGATAGAGGATATTTGATTCTAGTAAATATTGCTAATAATTCTTAAATCACAGGTGTTTCTTCCAATATTTGTTAGTATTTCCAATACCTTGTCGTGTTTTACTGTGTCAAATCCTTAATGGTAATCGATAAAGTATGAATAAATATCGCAATTCACATCTCTACACCGTTGAAATAGCACTTGTACGCTAAAGAGAGCCTCTCTCGTACCCACTGAGTTCCGAAAACCAAACTGTGTATGACTGATTTTTTCTTCCCATCGTCTATATATCCTTTAATGTTTGACTTTCAGAAATAACTTTATGTAGCTCATTAAGCTGAGAGTCCGGAAATCATTGCAGCATACATATTTTGCTTTCTTTGGTAGAGCAATAAACGTTGACTTTAGCCATTATCTTGGTATTACTCCGTACTCTACACCGTCGGTGTTAAATAGATTTATGAGTTCAGCAGATGCATTATCAGGTCCAGGAGCTTTGCCATCCTTTAGTTGTGATATTTCATTTCTCACTTTATCTGATGTGATTGGTAAGTGGTCATTACATATGTAGTATGGAGGTTGTTCAGACCTATTATGATCAACGAGTTCTTGTATGTATTTGGTCCATATGGATATTTATTGATTTTTATCTGTGATGATGTTCCTATGTTGATCTGGCAGTTTGCTAACTGTGTTCGATTTTTGAATACTAGCTGCTTATTTTACCATTTCATGTATATTAAATGTATCGTGTTTCTGTTCCAACATCTCTATCTCTTTACACTGTATTTTTAACCAGTTTTCATTGATCTTACATATTTCGGTTCTTATTTTATTGCATGAGTATATCCCATATATATATATATATATATATATATATATATATATATATATATATATATATATATATATATAAATATATATATAATATATATATATATATATATATATATATATATATATATATATATATATATATATATATATATATCCCGTCATTTGCAAACCTTAATCTGCTTATTTATTCGTTTTTTATTTGTATTACATTTAACTGCATTTTTCTTGCATGTTTTAGTGTTTATAAAATTTAAAAGTTATTGGTAACATAGTTTTCACATAATCCTTTGTCTCCTTTCTTGTGAAAGATCGATTAATTGATTCCATTGTTACATTCTTTAGGTTTTCTGTTTTTAATCCAGATTTATATTATCATGATATAATTCTTAATATATTTTTTCTCCGTATTCTATCAGTTCGTATAAAACATTGCCTTCTCCTGGCGCTTTGCCATTTTCTGAATTTCTTTTCATACTTTTTTTTATTAGAGACTTTATTTTTTTTTCGTCTTTCTCTTTATCCATTTCGTCACCTTCTTTGTTTTGCTGCTTTTTTCCCTTGAGTGCATGCCAAGTTTGTGCGAATCAATAGATGTTCGATGTTTTGCACTTCGCTGCAGTCGCACACTTTATGCTCTTCATAACCCCATTTTTTAAGCTTGACCTACACCGTGGCGTGTCTTTTCTGTCTATTTAGAGACTCCACGTGGTGTACGGTAATTAATTGCCTGCATTTATCTCTTCTATCTACTCTCTAATCTACCCGGGGTAGCGGGTAGATCAGGGTAGCGGATAGATACGCTTTTACGTTCCCGATAAAAGATAGATCTACTTCAGGGATGCGACCCTGCCCATGTGAGCTATAATTATCTTTAAATCCCCTGGTACCTAGAAAAAATTATGTCCTATACCCATTCTCTCATGTAATTACCAAAGTCTCCCTTCCCATATCCTACTCTGATGTGGGGCAGCGGCATCACCAGTACCAAGATAGAGCATAAGGGAAATGATCCTGGATCGGTCTATTATTGGATAATATAAGTTTTAAATTAACCGATCGATTACCGGTATAAGTAATCCCCACTTGTTGGTCAACAGCTACGGGTGGAAGCACCGATACGTGGTAGGGCACTTCATTGCCCTGAAGCTGAGAAATTAACTCTGAAGCCGGAAGAGCTAAGAAGCTACATGATGACTACCACATTAAAGATCCGGATAGATATCCTGAGTAAAAAATACCATGGACCCACTTGTCGATAATTTACTTAATGATTGTGATACTTACAAGGAGAAGTGGAGAATTGTGTGGGGCGATATGGACTCGGGAAGAGGAATGAACGTGGAGATCGGCTGGTTGGCTTCTGTAAAAATGAGGAACTCATAATTGCAAATATTTTCTTTAAACTTCCTAAACGTATATCATATACTTGGAGGTCACCAGCTGACAATAATAACAAAATAGTCAGAAATCAAATAGACTATATTATTGTCAACAAAAGATATATAAATTCAATAATATCATCCAAAACTTATCCAGGAGCGGACATATTCTCGGATCACAATCCGGTTGTTTTGTCAACAAGAGTGAAACTAAAGAATGTAAAACACCTTAACTCCAAAAAAATCATGGATACAATGCGGCTCAAATAAGACAATACGTATGCGGAAACGAAATTTAAAATAAACGAAATCTTAAGGAAATTCAAAGAAGATAATGCAGAAACTCTAACTATTGACCAAAAATGGGAAAGAAATCAACATGCTCTTGCGTCAATTGGAAAAGAAACCCTCAAACCAATTGAAAAAAAAACAAAACCTTGGATGACAGTAGAAATTGTTGAACTTATGGAAGAACGAAGAAAACATAAACCAAAAGACCTGAATAAACACATTGAAATGACAGGTTCTAGAAAAAGCACAAGAACGAATATCCTTAAAAATGATAAAGTAGATATTATTATTGATATGAAGGAAAGATTGTATCACTGGACCAATTACATCCAAAAGATATTTAAGGAAACCATATAGTTTCCTAACTAACCAATCATTAGAAACCATATAGAATACCGGACCACCAATATTACGGAAAGAAATAATCTATACCATCAAAAACGCGAAAGAGAGCAAAGCTACCGCACCAGATGATGTACCTAACGAATTATTAAAACTTATTGATGAAGATGTTATTAATGTAATGGTTGAATACATCAGACTTCTATAATCCTCAAACAATGGCTGCAATCGAGCTTTGTGGCAATACCCAAAAAGCTGCAATATTCTGCTCAGATCAGAGAACATTAGCTTTAATGAGTTATACACTTATGCTTTGTTCCGCTTGAATGTACTAGCTCGGAGATATATATATATATATATATATAATATATATATATATATATATATATATAATAAGAGAAAACTGAAAATCCGAACAGAGGTGAACTAAAAAGAAGATCTTTGAGAAATAAGGTTGACGAATCTATATTTTAACGGGATATAGGAGATAAGACAATGCAACGGCGGTACCAAATAGAAAAAGTTCATTGAGATGTACTAGTGAAAAATGTAATACTCTTGAGTATATAGCATTTTATAAAATTCTCTATAGATTACATACCTCATATTGAACTAAAATATTATGATCCCATAGATCTCCATGAATTACTACAGTTTCCTCAGGGATATCGGACAGTACTTTATTAGCAATAGCGAAAAAACCATCTTTTAAATCCTTATCCATTTTCTCCTTCAGATCAAATCTTTTTTCTTCCACCAACATATCAGCAACAACTGTTAGACCTGTTTTTAGATTATCTTCTAGGTTTAAGGATACTAGTAAAGATTGAATATCTGGTACCCACTTTGACAAAACTTCCTGAAACTCCTCGCTACACTGATCAAATACACAAAAGGAAAGAGCATGGAATTCAGCCAATTTCTTTAAAATTATGTTAACTGGAATTGGTCTTGAACCTCCTCTACTTCGAAGTGGTTTAAACCCCATGGAAAACAAGTTATTATAAACTAACACATCTCTGTCATCTGTAGAAAACATTTTATAACACATAGGTAAAGGAAGCGGCGGACATCTCACTTTGTTTTTCCTACACAGTTTTACTAAAACGTGTACTACATTTTTAAAAAGATATTGCTCCCTTTTAAAAAATTGTCTTAAAACGTTTTCACTTTCACATTTTTCACTTATTTTAAGAGTTAAATCCAGATATAATTTGTTTTTCTTATAATCAACTCCTTTTATATGTGTCAAGACGATAAGCCAGTCTAGTTCAAACCTGTAGAAAATTGGTACCACTTGAAAATCTATTTTATATTCGAAAAAATTTGCATCTTCCACAGTTCTTTCGATATAAGAAAATACTTCATTTTTGGTTTTTTCGTCTAAAACTTTATACATGTTGTAATGATATGAATAAATAATTTAATGAGTTGAATCAGGTGCGATAACATTTACAAATTTTATCTACACGATTTTATTCAAATAAACATTATTTCATACATACTACTTGTCCCATAATATACTCAGCATAGATAAGTTACACGAACACACATATAGTACAGTCACTAAAGGTTTTCACTCCGATTTCGTTGAACCTCCATACATTTTCATGCAAATTGATGAGTAGTTAGAGGATACCTTAAGAAACAAAAGTGACATGGTATCAACTTGCGCTTTTACCCTGGGGGTGGATGCCTCCCTTCTCGGGGGTGGAAGTTATTTTATTAAAAATAACCCCAGTAATCGATAGAGGGACCAAATCTAAATAAAATTTATCTGATAAAGTTATTAAAATAAATCAATATTTTTTGAGTTATTGAAGATCAAACATTTTGATTTTTCTTGAAAAAAATGCATGTCTTAAAGCGGTTTTTCATAAATAACTCAATAACTATAAGTTTTTATAAAAAAGTTGTCATTACCAAATTGAAGCTAATAAAAAATTGAATAAATTTTTTGCTTGAAAAACCTTTTAATAATAATTCAAAGTGAGTTATAGGTAATTAAATGTAGTTTTTGTTTTTCAGCGAGTACTCAAATCTGAATATTCAAGCTTAAATAACGAGAAATCAATGCATTTTATAAAATATATTTATTGAACAATTTTACAAACTACTCAGAAACACCTATAAAATGAGCTCTCAAGGAAGTTAATAGCATCAAAAATTAAGCAAGTTATCCCTATAATGCGCGATTTTTTGTATTGTAATAAAAAAAATATTTTTAACTGCATTAGGGTATAAACTTATGCCTAAAAATAGTAAAAAAAATCTAACTTTCAAAAAAAACATTAATTTTTTGAAAAATCTTGTTGTATCATATATGATACATAGCGGAAATTTTTACAAAACAAATTTTATTACATTATTAATAAGTATAATATGTTACAATAACTAAATATCTAAGTTGAATGGAATTTATAAAAACAATTATTATTTTTGTTCAGGCAAAGATATAGTCCACATTTTGAACATTGAATATACGAAAAAGAAGTACACTTGGGCATCTTGCATCTCTGTCTTGTGTTTTTGTACAATGGCCAGTGTGAGTGACCATCAAGCCTTACGTCTTTTGGAGGAATATACGTTGTTGTTGCTGACCTTTTCTTTTTTTCGGCTATTTCTTTTTCAAGATCTGATGGCCTTCCTCTCTTCACCAAACGATTACTTCCAACGTTGCATAAGCAATATGCCACTTCAGCCCGAAACTCGGCAAGTTTCATACATTTCTCTGCCTCCTTTTCTCTGGAACATCGACGGTATAGAAGCCAAGAATTTACAAGCGTCATATCAAGAAGATGATAGAATAGCCTCATATACCACTTTTTTATTTAATTGTGATTTTGTAGCGGCTAATCAGGCTATCCATAAGGTCCACCCCTCCCATATGTTGGTTATATTCCTGGGACCAACTTAGGACATTCAATGTTGATTTTTTGTTTTCTTTTTCTATCAAACCTTTCAACATTTCCTTTCGGCAATTCTCCAGCATATGTTGACAACAAACAAACAGTCTTGTTGTCTCTCCAGGCCACTGACGATATTTCCACGCCTTCAAAGTCACACACATACTCAACTGAAGTCCCACGATCCATTTTTTTTGCTTCATCTTCAGATGGTAACTTACAGTTTGGAATACGGTTTCGTCTAACAGTGCCTAGGGAATATATACCTATGGTAGCAAGATAATGAAGTAAAGGCAATGACGTATTGTCAAAGTAAACAACATAATTGTGATTTTTCGGGATAATCCTAGATAATCTGACAACTACATTGGCACTTGCTCCTAGGTCTGTTTTATCTACCCGATGATTCCTTTTATCATTTTCTGTACCAGTGTATATTTTGAAATTGTAGGAATATCCACTAACACCGCATAAAACGAAAAGTTTGTATCCCCACTTGTGGGGTTTGGCAGGCATGTATTGTTTCATATAATGCCTTCCTTTTGAGGCGCACATCTGCTCATCTACTGAAAGTTTTTGTTCCAATGATATGCTTTGGAATTTGTTATTCAAATGATCGACAAGGGGTCGTAATTTATGAAGACGATCTCGATCCACATCATTTTGGTCCAAACTTGTATTGTCGTTGAAATGTATACATTTTCTGATAAATTCGAATCTCTTCTCACTCATTACGTTTTTTATTTGCTGATAGCCTAGGGAATTGGACCAATAACTACGACAATTAGGCATGTGAACTAGGGACATATAGATGCAAATTCCTAGGTATTGATTTATATCTGTGGTGGTCAGTCCAGCAGCTTTACTCGGATCCTTTTGAATAACATATGTATTGGACTCTGTTACATTTTTTTCGATCAACTCATTGTCAAAAAAGTGAAAAAAGCATATGGTGTTGACAAATCCATTATAGCATTAGAAAGGTTGGTATCTCCTCTAAAAGTCTTCGCCAGTTCGTCAATGGATAGGTTTTTTTTCTTCCACAATATATTTTTGATTCGAGTAGTGATTGGCTCAACCTCCACATCGACATCGACGATAGTTGGCTCCTCAATAGGTTCTATTAGTTGGTCTGGAAACTCTGTGACAGTAACCTCATCTTCAAACTCTACAGGTAAGCTTTGAATATCAATATTCTCGTCAGGATCTAAGTTTGTCTCATCTCTAAAACATTCTTCAGAATCACTATTGTCCAATTCGTTATCACTGTTCCAAAAATTTGCTGCCAACTCCTCTAATTCACGCTCTGACAAAGATCTTTTACCATACATAATGACCCTGTAACAAAACGCAATGTATCAGATCTGATACAACCGTAAAAAGAGGCGAATTATGAAGAAATTACTCATAAAAGTATAAATTAGCTCGATCTATATTTATATTACTTACCTTCTAAACAAAGTTCATACAGCCAAAATAAAAGAATTACGAAAAAACGAATAAAACAAAAAAAAATCTGAGAAGCTACAATGCGTGCTCAATGCGAATAGGCACTTGCCGGACAACTAACAAAATTCACGCGCGAACTAAAACGATTGCGAGGTATGCAGCTTTATTTCCTAGTACGTAAGGACGTATCAGATTTAATACGAAGCGCAGCGACGGCTTTAAACACACACAATTTAAGGAATCGATTATTTAAATAGGTTGTAGCAGATCTGCTACATTGCGCAGTATAGGGTTATGATGAAAATAAAAGGACCCTTTCGAAGTTTTTTAGAAAAAGTGAAAAATAAGACATACGCCATTTCCACAAAAAAATAAAATTTATAGTAATCCCTATGAAACCTTCTTTATTTAAGCAAAAGTAATGACCTTAAAAATTTTGACCGGTTTAGAATGCATATCTTGATTTAAAAAAAATTGATTTAAAAAAATCAGAATTTTTCAAATTTTCATAAATTTCATTTTCTTTTGAGAATAACTCCATATACTCAATATACTTAAAAAATGATAAAGAATAAAATTTGAGGTTTTCTTTAACAAATATTTTCCTTTTTTGTATATTTTTGTAGGATAAAAAATCACTAAGATAAAAACGTTTAAAACCTAAATTTTACTGAGGGAACCATGTAACCGGGGCCCTTTATTTTTTTTAATAAGGAATTTAAAAGATTAAATTTAATACGACGGTATAGCCCTTGAAATTACCTTTCACGTTTTCAAAATGGTTTGTGAATGAACTTGATATCACAAAAATTAACTCAGTTATTGTAAAAAAATCAGATGCGTAATGAGTCCTTTATTAAGGCTACCACTAAAAATAGTGCAGTTAAAGTTTTCATCTCTGGTCCCAACGGTTGCTGCATTGGATGAATACATCAAAAGAGTTTATTTACAAACCTAGATATGGCTTGTAAACAAAGACATTGGTCCAGTTGACTGGGAATGGTGCAAAATTGAAGAGTCTTTGTTTCCAACTAAAAATCCCAATCCACCTGCTCCAGAAGAATTGTTAAAAATGATTTTTTGCAACTGCAAAAATGGGTGCGGCGCTTCTTGCGGGTGTTGAAGAGTAGGGTTATTTTGCAATGCAATCTGCGGATCATGCCTTGGAGACAATTGCTAAAATATTAATGAAATCATAATGGCTATTTTTATTTTTGAACTTGCTGCTCTAAACAAATCAATAAATCTGCATTGATACCAATCAAGTAAGATTCTTCAACCATGAGTTCTACCTTCGGCCAACAGATCTTCTTCCTTGAATCTTTTCCTGTATAGTCTCAAAATTTTATATTTTGGTCGCCTTATCACTTGGCCTAGGTATTCCAGTTTTCTGGGGAAAAAATAGACGGAAATAACAAATAGAGCAAAGAAATCAGACAAGTTATACTATGCGTTAGCCCGAATACTCTAAAATAAGAACTTACACGAGAGACAAGAATAAAAATATATATAATACAATAGTGATACCGAATGTACTCTATGCAAGTGAAAACTAGACAATTCTGGAAATGTATAAGGGTAAAATAAATGAAATGGAGATGAGAGATCTAAGAAGAATAGTCGGAAAGACAAAATGGGATAGATTAGACAACAAGACTATTAGGAGAATGGCCAACCAAGAACCAATAATGAATATAATGGTACAGACCCGGTTTTATCTCTTTGTACTTACATAGAAGCCGGTTTTCAAAGATAACTGAACAGTTCTACGGCTTTCATATATCTGTCAGCAGCTTTCGACACAGTCTGGAGGCGAAAAGGAATTATTTATAAACTCTTACGCACTATTCTTTGAAATTTTCTCAAGAGAAAATATGCTCACCGACAGAGTATTTTAACTAATTATGGGATCAGAAATAAGTACACCAGAAAACTCAAAAATAGTCTGCCTGCAAGGTTTAGTACTTTCACCACTACTTTTTAGCCTTTACATCGCAGACAGAGCGATAACAACATCAAAAAAGTTTGTCTATACCGATAAGTGGCTTTATTAGCACAAAAAATCAGTAGAAGAATCTGAAGAGATTATGA